ATTATGGAGTGGGAATTATTTTCAACTCAAAATATCTTCAAACGAATGAAATATAAAGTAATTAGTGAAGGAAACCCGTCTGGATAACAGCAGACTGACTGCTCGTAAAATATACGACAGGTCTGGACCACTCGTGAATTTTGTTCGTATCTGAAAAAAAAAATCTAACAATATGAAAACATTGGTGAATGCCACAAATTCTCCTAAATCACTCGTACGCACAACTTAAGAACAAATCTGTGCGTACGAATGGTTCCTGCATGAGGCCCATTCATTCTTGAGTTTCCTGATTCTACGTACTTTCTTGTCTCCAGTTTCTTGTTCTTTAGGGGTCTTTGTATCTCATCTGCTTGGTCATAGAACCAGCTTTCATTCTTTTTCCTTCTTTCCAAAGACACATTTGGCAGCATTGTGAAGCACTTTTGTTAGACCATCCCAAGATTCTTCTCAGCTACTTGGGACCATTAAAAAAAACAATCCATATCTAAATAAAGCAATCTGCTGCAGGGTGGATCTGCGTCACGTTGATAAAATGTCTGGCTGTTTTGTTAGCCAATACATGGTCAATTTGGTGCCAGTGTTTTCAGCACAAATGTTGCCAGGTATGAGTTGGACCATCATTCCCTTTACTGAGAGTTTTAAGTGTGTGCAGAATTACATGAAGCCACTCAGGTGGTGGAGGAATCAGTAACATTCTTCTCTTGGTTTTAATAATTCACCAGCTTCAATATTGTCTCCAGTTGTTTTCCAGACTTGTTCTAACAAATAAATGTATTTATTTTTAGYGCAGCTCCAACTTCTTCTACTGGATTGGAAAAAGAGGTTTTGTCGAGATCCAAGTCCCACCCCCACCCTGGTTCTGATTGGCTAGTATAGCTCTGGTCAAACCTGAACCTGACCCCACCACCACACTAAGAGTCAATGACTTCCTTCCTAAAGGGTTCGAGGCACAAAAAGCAGCAAAGCAGACGAGCAGCTCATACCTTGTTCTTCAGAGGCAGCAGAGCTGGAGGCTTCACTCACAACCTTCTCTTCCTTCTCTTGAAGCATGGCTTCTGCTTCTTTAGACAGGCAGGAGCTGTCTGACGGGTCGAGTGTGTCCGCCTCCTGCTCTTCCTCCTCTTCCTCATCCTCCTCGCTAAACTTCAGTCTTTTTACTTCTTGGTGATCAGGCTCCATGTCCTCTTCCTTATCTGAGTGTTTGTTCTTCACAGCACTCCCAGGAGAGTCTTCTGAATGACAAACCTCACTGACAACAAATTAAAGAGACCCACATYAAATTCTGTACACGTTTCCCATGAAAACCAGTTGTGGTGTACCGATGATTGAGTCGTACCTCGAGTCTTTGTCGCCATCTAGCTCTGCGTTGAGGTCTGTGTTGCCTGTGCTATCTGGCAGACCATTAGCTGCTAGTGAGTGGGCCAGAGACAACTTTGGTCTGTTCAGCGGCCGGGGCGTTCCCGGACCGTTCACTTTTCTAAAACAATCCAAGAAGAAAATGTAGAATTAGAAATTAATAATAATTTTATAGTTTTTTACCAATTTACATAAAGGGGCTTTAGTTTTTCTCAAACTGACAGCTGTCTATAGAACCATCCTCTTCATCAGACTGTCACAGAAAAACAGAGCCTCTTCAGTCAGAGGCTTCTTCAACTTCGCTGTAATACAGACCGCTGCCCACAGCCATCACCATCAACAATAACTCTTTAGTTAAATGAGTTACAACAACACCTAATTTCCCTCTGGGATCAATAAAGTATTTTAGAATTGAACAACCTCTCTGTAAATGAAGATGTGTTTCCTGGAAGCATCACTCCGTTCATCCTATTAACAGCACTGCATCCATTTTTCCTGAAAAATAAATAAAATAAACGWAAAAACTGAGCTTTACCCACAGAAAAGAAATGTGTACAGTATTTATGTATTTGTAAATGTTGTATAAATTGGTGAACTCGCATCCAACACTTACTCTGAAGTTGGATGGACACAGCTTACCACCATTACATTCTAGAGAAAAACAAACAAACCATTTGTAATAAAAAAAGTTTTGCCTAAAAGAAGAACTTTGTGTTTGAAGGACCTACCTTCTCCACCCCTCGAAGGAACTTGTCAGTTCCTGTGTAGTTCCTTTTGGGTTCTGTGAGGAGCTCACACAAGCGCTGGATTGTAAAAGGGATTCTAAGAGGAAAAGAAAATCTTTGTTAGTTTTGCATTTATAGAAATTTAATACCTTTAATCACCAGTAGAACTGATAAAACAGAAGGCAGTCAGATTGAGTTGTCTTTCTCAGAGCTCTAAGAACCTCCACCAAACAGAACTGAAACAGCATTTTGTATCTGGTGTTATCAACTATATCCCATCCCACACCCACCCACACACCCCTTTTTGTTTCTTTTTAACCTCCAACCGTCTTAAAGTGTCAAACCAAAACCACCCAGTTACTTTAGTGCAGTGATTAATTTTTAGGCAAAAGAAAATCTTACATTTACATTGTGACATGGGTCAGCCAGCAGCGTTTTCACAAATGCTCGACTCATTTGCAGTTTGGACGTGGTGGGGTGAATATCTCCTGTTCTGACTGTGGTTGGGAGGGAAGCTGCACCAGGACTGACCTGATATGAAGGTGAACTTCCAACACACAGAGGTGGTGTTAAAGGCACAGTGTGTAGGATTGTTGTTTTCAGCGACATCTAGTGGTTGAGTGGTTAAATCATCCTCCCTGGTCCTCCCCCCACCCCC